GGTTAGATAGCATCACTGAAGCAATGAGCATGAAACTGAGCAAACTCAGGGAGGCAGTGAAGGACAGGAAGGCCTGGCGCAATACGGTTCATGGGGTCACGAAGAGTCAGACACGACTTAACGACTAAACAACAACAACAACCTGATTTCTATCCACTCATCCAGCTCAGAGGCTCACCTGAACATCTGCTCACTGTAACCATGTATTACCACTTCCTTTCTGGATTTAAAAGTTCTCTTCTCCCTAAAACTGGAAGGCAGAAAAGTGTTTTCTTAGTTGCACAGCACACTGCTCCTTCCAGAATTCTTTTTAATTACGGCGACTCAGGGTTAAGTGCTTCATAAAGGGTACATCAAGAGAAATAAAAACAGATGAGCAGTCTAAGGCAGGGCCCATGCTCTCTCCTTACGTTGGGTCAGCACAGATGTTGATGAAAAGGACGTCTGGGACAAGGTGGCGGCGATACAGCTGGATACAAGAGCTGTCAAGCTCCTCAATGTCTCCGGTTAGCAAGAGAATCGTATCCACCTGGAGTTGGGAAAGAAAAATAAAACAGAGTTTTGGAATATGTGGAGACTCATCACACTGACCTGCATGTGTTAAAACTCCAAGGTAATTGCCTTCCTTTTGTTTGCAAAAGTTTTTTGCAACCTTTTTTTTGTTTGTGCGAAGACATCAACAGCCTGCAACTCCAAGCATCCAGCAGCTGCATTCATCAAGCCTTCTCCAACCCAGACCTGTGTATAGTTGCTGGACTACAACTCCCATCAGCACCTTGTTGATGGGGATCATAGGAAGCTGTAACCAATGCTGACAGAGCATTGTTACAAAAGCTACACAAGCTTTGAACCCCCTCCCATCCTAAGCCCCTTTTTCCAGCTGACCCAAGGAAGTGCAAAGACTCTGCTTTCTTTTGCTGGGTGAAATCAAGCCTACCATCATAAAAAAACATTTCCTTGGATGAGATCCAAAAGAATGGCCATTTAGCCCAGCAATATGGTTGCCTAGCAGACCACTAGAGGCCTCCAGTAACATCAAGACAAGGAGGCAGGGATTGAGGAAGCCAAACCATTCTAAAGGCACGTTCGTTCATTAACCTAATGTGTTTTTAACTGACTGATCAGCAAGATCTTGGTCCAATCAGTCTTTCTAACAGAAGGCTTCCTGTGTCTTCGCCACAGACTCTCAGACTCACATGTTCCCGCCGAGCCAGGAAATCCATGATGATCCCCGCTGGTGACCAATATTCACCGTCGTAAATTGAATTGCTCTGGAGGGAGAAGCATTGGATCGGTCATCCAGCACCCCATACTTAGGTTCCACTAGCATAAATGGAACTCTTCTGTAGATCCACTATTCTGCTAATCAGCGCAGGTCAATGGTTGATTAACAGCTTCTCCTATCGCCATGTTAGCTTCTCTTCTTACTTTGGTAGATTGTGGGGAGGAAGAGAGAATTTGCTCATTTTTCTCCCGTTATTTTTGCAATCTTTATTGTGCAAAGATACACGCCCGTCACAATATTCCCCTTGGAGGTAAGCAGTGCTATGCAAAGCACAGAACAAAGCTGAAGAAGAAAGCTGAAGAAGTTAGAGAACCTAGCTAGATCTAGTTTACACCAACCCCAGTCACTAGACATTATCTGTTTCTATCCTTGCAAACCCTCTTTGCTCCCCTCAACCCACTCACCGATTCATATAATTCATGATTACTCATATTTATCTAGAGAAAAGGGAAAGATGGTGAAGCCTGACCCTGAAACCATATCTTGGCCCTGAACCCATGCCCCTCTCAGCTCCAGGTCTTACCAAATCCTGTAAGGTTTGCACATCCTTCAGCACAGAACCAGTCATGGCAATAGCCCCCAAGATATTTGCACGGTAGCAAAGGAAGACCTTAGCCTGTTCGCAGGCAGAATATATCATGGAGCCCAGCAACATGGCCATGTCTTGGATCTGGTGAGAAGGGAAGAGTGACATTAAAAGAGGCACGCAAAGGACCCCATTATTACACCATCTGCCATAGGCCAAAAGAGCTCCTTATTTCTTTGTACAGGTATTTAAGGGTTGGAACAAGCCTAATGGCTGGTAGCTGCACTCAGCCAAAGTTGGCTGGTCTTTATTAAGCAAGCTTGGCTTTGGTTTAGACTTGGATGGGAGACCACTTGGAAAGCTGAGGGCTACAAAAAGGCATCTCCAAAAGTAAGTAATGGCAAACTGACCACTTTCATATTGTTGCCAATAAAGCAATTGGCAACTGAAGTGATACAGATGCATTTATCAAATTTCCAAGAGTTGAGTTCAACTAGAGGAAGACTAACTGAGCAAGCTGAATTAACGCTGGAGGAAAAAGGAATCAGATTTATCCCTAATTAGCTACCTTTAAGCTTTCAACTTCTTTTGCCAAACCTAATTCCATGCTGGGGGGACAAAGAATACATTTTTCTCTTTCCATTATGTTTTCTAGTTCCAAGGAACTACTCTCTGAATTGCAAGCAACACAGAGAGAAAACCAGGATAGAGCAGTAGAGAAGGGGTTGGACGAGGAGCAGGGAGACCCAAAGTCCAGTTCATCCTCAGACATGCAAGTTCCCTGGGTGACTCTGAGCCAGCCATTCTCTTTCAGCCCAACCTCCCTCCCAGGATTGTTCTGGGGAAAAACAGGAGGAGGAAACATTATGTAAGCTGTCCTGAGCTCCTGTATAAGCAAGGCAGCATACACAACTAATCAATAGATAAATAGTCAAGAGCATGTTTCTCAACCTTGGCAATTTGAAGATGTGTGGACTTCAACTCCCAAAATCCCCCAGCCAGCTTGA